GAAACCAACAGGCAAGCGATTCCCGAGTTTCTGCAAAAATTGCAAACTTCATTCGTATCTTATGCAACGTCGATTTTCTAGTTCACTGCCCCTCTCAAAGCGAAATGACAGATGAAGTCAGACAAGTGTTCCTTGACAAACACAATGAATACCGGTCAATTTGTTTACGTGATTGATGATATGCTTCTAACTCGCCCGAATCACAAGTATTCAGATCACTCGTTGCCAAAGGAGAAGCTGTAGATGCACGAGGCGGAACTACCCCAAAAGCTGCAAAACTACCTAAACTGGTATGACTGCTCTGTTTTTATGTATTATGATCGCTAATTTAACGGGCATTTTAACTTAGCAACCAGGCATAGGTTGCTTGGCACATATGAGTCACAAGTGGGGGTTTTGTAATGTTCAATCCAGACCTACGACTGCGACATTGAGTCGAAAGCAATGAGTTGGATAAAAAAGTGTATGTACATGCCATCCCGATTGAGCAAAAGATTGAACCTAGGAGAAAATATGTATATGTCATATGAGGCTAAAGATAACAAGACGGCAGCTGCAGAAGAGGTAAGACATCGGGCTTGAATAGCTCTATGGACAGCAATGGACAAGCTTTATTGCAGAGTACCTTCAGCTGGTTCAGCTCATTGCAAAATGTTGGCATAGGAGACGAGACCGTTTTCAATAAGAACATGATTTACGACGGTGTTGGTTACTACACTCAGGTGAGTTACTATACAACTGTTCTGTATCAATACTCAATGCCAAAAAAAGTGCTTTAGCTGGTGTGGCAAAACACCCACAAAATTGGATGTGCTGTAGCATCGTGTAATAGCATGACCTTAGTAGGCTGCCTCTACAATCCGAGGTAAGTGGTTCACTTTGTGAGAGGCGATATTTTCCAAAAAGTTCTTTTTAGTGGCAACATCGAAGGAGAAGTCATTTATGAAATTGGAGAGCCATGCACTGGCTGTACATGCAGTAAGGATGAAGGGCTTTGTGTTGTCTAGTTGTTACGTTTAGGAATAAACATTCACTGATAGATGAAATGTTCCATTCAGCTCTGCCAAGATTTGGAATGTATTTTCTATTCATTCCCTTTTGTTCTGATGACTCTGCTTACCATGCATAAGCAGGAAGGAATTTACAGCGCTGGCGAAATCCTACTTCGGATGTCGAATGAAAAATAGGAATCGAAAACAAAGAGCCGAAAGTTACATATGAAGGAGAAAGAACGTATCAGTGTCGGGAGCATGTGGTGCAGGAGGCAGCTTTGTGAGAAGAACAAAAGTTTATGCAAGTCGAGATGCATACGTCATCCATTACGTACTGAAATCGGTACGCCAATATCCGAAAGCATGGTGCTGCCAGCCGAGGCTGGAGTCGCAGAAATCCCCAAAACATCGAGAACCATACGACTAAAGGGCTAGCTAAGCGAAATAGGACAGCAAAGTACAATGCGAACACAACTGAAGTCTGAAGAGTAGGACAGTGCAGCAACATGATTATCGAACAACAAGAATTCTAACATTTTGGTGGATGGATCAAACAACCCTCATGATGGTGAGGAAAAACAAGTCTCAATGACGTGTGCGACATGAGCAACAAAAAAATTCAAAAAAAAAAAACTGAGTAGTCTATTCCTGTCGCATTGCATGCAATCATTGTATCTGCAGATTCATTCACTGCACCGAATATAACACATTTTTCCTTCATTATTTGTGACACAGATCTCATTGTCATGGCATATACTTGAAGTCTGATTGAGTGGTGGGGTTTTGGGTCGATAGAAGAATCCGAGCAACAAGCCAATAAGAAAAAATAGGCTATGAGCAGGTGAGATCACTGTTCTTTCTAGTACACCACCACGACAAGAGTTTGATAAAAAAAGGAATTGCCCATATCTACGAGTAGAAGAGTTTGGATAGACACAAGAGAGGCTTTGCTTGAGCGTTTCGAAATCAGCAGCCGTGATTTCTGTAAGGGCAACTCAGTAGAGCTGTTAGCTACTACTCGTGTAGAATTTCTTATTTTTTTTTTGTTTTTTGTTTGACCATCTGACTCATGGATGAGCCTAGGTGAGGGTCGGAAGGAAAAGAAGGTGAAAAAATGGCTAGCGGTCCAAAGAATAATCGCACGGTCACTGGATTGAATACGAGATCGGCAGTCTCCTAGGTCAATAAATTATTCTCGTTGTCCGAATAGGTCCGTTCACGAAGCTCAAAGCAAAACAGTGGCCGAGGACGGACGGGACTCGAACCGCTACTTAAAGGCACCGTTCACATAATTTTGGGTAATCCAGATTATGATGAAAAACGAAAGACAAGATCGAAACTAGTGCGACTGAGGTGAAGAAACTGCGTGCATAGGTGTTTCCAAAGTGAAAAAAGGCTTCGAAAAAACGTTAAGAAGGGGTCTGGACGTGAATGAAACCAGAAAAATGAAGAAGGGTGGGGCGTCCGGACGAGCTAAATAGCGTGTTTCACTGCGCGCGTGTGGGTCCTGGTGCGAAGAACAGACAATGGTAAGCAAAAATTCATTCACTTATAAGCATAAATAAACAAAAAAACCCTAGTAACAGCAAAAGTAGCTCACATTTTTCAGCCTCTAGGAGTAGGAAATTAAATAAGGGATCGCAGCAGCAAAAAGAAAAACAGAGGAAACAAGAATGGGAAAAAACATCGCCTCTTCACTCGGCGATTAGCTGTTTGTGCGTGGGTCCTAGAACGAACAGTAGCAATCTGTATTGTCTCGACACTCGTCTAACGTAACACCGATCGAGGGGCGGAGGGCGACCGTGGATAACTCTCCGCCTTTATTGTGCCCTATCCAGCCGTTTTCCGACCTCATTCCTGCACAAATGGTACCATAGGGGGCTCCGAATTCAAACCATGTGCAAATCTCCGAAACCACTTTTCGTGAACAGTGCCTTTAAGCTTCCCGGGGTTCGTGCTATCTCTTCTCTTTATCTCGCGCACCACTAACAAGCTATGGCATGAAAACCATTAAGAAGACGAAGGCAAGCGAGATTTCGGTAGTGTAATGGTTAACAAGAACGATGAATGGAAAGCGTAAGTGCAGGTTCGAGTCATCAAGTGACGTTAGATGAAAGCTTCTGCAAAATATTCTCGTTAGCGGATGCTGTACAAAGTGCAGCAGAGGTGAACATTAAACCAGTGCCCTGCAATAGCCATTTTGCCTTTTTCAGCCTAGCATCAATGTGATCTTTCTGGTCATCTTCATATTGTTAGGAGTGATTCTGGTAACGATAACCATTGATTTCGTAGCAGCAGAGGTTATTGACCGTATTCACTACATGGGACGTCATGTAGGAAAAGCACGAGAAATTGCCGGCAAAATGATGCAGGTACAGTTTGAATCCGCGCTTTACCTGAGCAATTCCTCAAGTCCCCGGGGTTACAGCAATATCTGCTCAAGGTAGCAGACGTAATTACAGCATTTCCCCCAACTGTCAGGCCCATGTTCTTGCCCTAGATCTTTTTTTGTTACGTTGTATGTTTGACGAGGATTCGGAAACGCCGTGTAGGTGACACGGATGTCAGGATAGCCGCTTGTATGTGCTGTTGCTACGCAATGGCAGACTGCCACCGTGAGAAGAAGTAAACACGACCAATTCCACACCCCATACTTGCTCTTCACTCGAAATCGACTCACTCAATCGTTCAATCGACCCTTCTTCTCATTACAGTGGTTTTTGCCTGTGTGAAGGGATCAAGTCCTAAAAAGCTACAATATCGAGGAACACATTTTGCTGCTCTGCGCAGAGGCTTGTGAAGTCATTGTTGGTTTTTCAGATGGCGCAGTCGCTGAATGTTAATAGAGGGATCACGGGACTTACTACAGGAATGGCACAACTTCAAGCCCTCGCACGGTTTGGACTGCTAGGCAGACTGGATCAAGAGGTATGCATTATACTTATATCAACAATAGAGAACTCTTTTACTTTAGAACGTTGCTGGAGCAAGTTTGATGAAGCGGGGGTCAAAGTCCTCCTTCACGGTGTGGATGAGGTCCCGTTCTGGGGTGCACCCGCACTTATCCCTCCCATTCAACACCTCAGTTAACAGTTTGACTGATGTTCGACCTATAACGTGACAGCAAGGGTGAGCCGTTGCACAATCGAGACTTAAGACGTCTCCGATGAGTCTGATAACAGTTTATCAACTGTATAAGGAAGGAAACTTTGGTCGGCCCTAGGGGACCGATCCAAAAATAGATCCCTGCTAATGCGCAGGGTCTTTTACTAATCACGCCAGAATCTTGGCAGAAAGTTAAGTTTATATGCCCAAAGAGGCAGGTTTCGGTTGGTGAAGTCGTGGCCGTAGCTTTAACACTCGTTCTGGGCTTATCAGCACAATTTGAAGTTTATGGGATCGGCCGCCTATCAAAGCCTGGAGGCTGCCTAGCTATTCTTCTGGATCTGATTTACTTTTCAGGTAATCGATAAAGGAAAGGATGGATGCGCCTTTGCACCGTTTTTAGAAGACATGGATTTTGTGGATAATGCGTCAACGTACACAATGGATGTGAAGTCGCCCCACCGCCGTCAACAATCTCCACCCAATCGTTTCATTCAGAGTTATCCAAATGTCCCAACTCATCACTCTAGAGGCGACTCTAATTATGTTCTCAAGGAAAGCGATGAGAAAAGATCCACATATTCTTCCAAACGGACTCCCTAGAGAAGTGGTCAACTAATTTGTCGATGTAATGTCGGAAAAGTTTTTGCTTAAACTTTTATATTTTGCAAAAATTTCTGTTGACCTGGATAGAGTATTAGATTAATCAATAATATATTGCCTAAATTGCTCGATAAACTCTTTTCAATTTTCGATTATATCTGATTCCGCGGACTATGCGTGTTATAGGCTCCCACTAGGCTCTACAGTGTTTCCACCCCCGAGCATAAGATCCATAAACACACAAAAGTCGTTTTAAATTTTACACGGAAATATATGATGTCAGACGTAGCAAAGCCAGGGAGTGCCATTATAACTCGCAGTGTAACCAGTAAAAATGAAATTTTTTGCAATGTTCTACTTTGGGCCCCTTTTAGGTCCTTCATTTGGGAGCTCACACTTTGGAACTGTTCCTTGCGATGACTACGATATTTCGAGAAAACAAATTTTCCACAAGTTTATGTCATGAAAACTGGTGGTGTGAAAGCCAGGCCGCAACCTGAGCACATCTCATGCACATTTTATCATGAAGGTATGTGAACTACCCCTTCATTTTCCACCGGAAAAATTCACAGGTGATGCAACACCGTAAGCGGAGTCCGTTATTGAAAATCAATCAAATACTCCTTTTTGATTTATGAAAACTTTGCAACTGCTCCGTAATGAAGGCAAACAAGAGGAAGACAACAGTACGTTCCTTAATACAGCTTTATTGAGGCAACTGATAAAACCAGCGTTGGTATACTTTTATATGAAGAAGCTTCGTATCTTCTAGTATTGGCTAGAGTCATTACTTCCTCTCTGTAACAAAATGGTTAAAACACTCGACAGTTGATAAGGCTGTTTTTATACTACGAGTTCCCATTAGGGTATCTATTTTATACGGAGAATTCCTCAACCCTAATAGTCAGGACGAACTGCGAAAACATCTGAAAGGTACCAGATAATAAGTTAAATTATCGATTTCCAAGAACGGTCAACTTCACAAGCGCATGTCATCTATGATTCTCAAGGAATACAGAGACCGGCAAGTTAGGGCCGAGAGGAAGGACCCCAGCTACAAGCTGGGCAGTTTACAGATCGCAACATAGAACCACCATGTCCTAGCCCAAAGTAAACCATGTGACAGGCAGGACTAGTGACTTTCTGCTTCACTAGGATGCCCAGAAAAAGAAGCATTCAATGGGCCACCTGTTTTTTTTT